GAGCTTCACATTCTGCTGGCCTTCTGCCTGGGGGTACTTTTCCAGACCACAGCCGGGGGAAGCAGAGCCCAAGCTGAAAGTCCCACTGAAACAGAGTTCAGGTGACAGGAATTCGTGTGACAGAACCTAGGGGAAGGCGCCACAGGGAAGTCCCAGATAGATTTCTAGGAGATTTCCTCGGCTAAATCCTAAGCTGTCCATGTGCGGGGAAAATTCTGGAAGGCCCTGAATAGCTGCTGTTGGGGGTGGAGGAGCTGGAACTGAGAGGGAAGCATAGATGTTAGAGGTCTCTCAGTGGTGGAGAGATCGGAGAGTACCAACTGAGCCAGGCTGAGAGATCTAACAACTGTCCTGAGAGCCTAAAAAGGTGAAGCCTTAGAAAAAGAGATTTGGGGCCAGCCAGTGGCATGGTGGTTAAGGCAGCTTGATCCCACATGGCCTATTGCATGGATCCAGTCCCAGACCCAGAGGCTTGAAATAGTGTTTGTGTTGTTTGTGTATATGTGCCCAAAATTCTGAGAAGAGAATGGAGAAGAAGGGATTGCAGCATAGCTATCCCTCTGGGGGGTGATTTTTCTTTCTCTGAGTGCATGTGCCATATAGAAAAATAAAAGAAAAGAAAAGAAAAGAAAAAGAATAAAGGATTTGGGGGATAGCCATGGAGTGAGGGTTAAGGCGGCTGGATTCCACATGGCTTCCTGCATGGATCGAGTCCTTGACCTGGAAGCTTGAAACATACACCAGGCATACGTGTGTGCATGCCCAAAGTCCTGAGAGGAGAAAAAATTGTGGTGTGGTCATGCCCCATTGGGGGTGATTTCTCACTTTCTTTTTTCTCTCTCTCTGGTGAGCATATGTGCCCTATCACAAACTTAAAAAAAATAAAATAAAAAAGAAAGAGAAAGAGAGTGAGAGAGAGAGAGAAAATGATTTTACCCAAGAATAAGGCTCAAACAGAAATATACCAATCTTAACAAAAAAAGTCATCTCCTTAACAGGATGAAAAAATTTGCTAGTTATTTAATTTTTGCTGGGAGAAAGGTCTACACTGTTTAGAGAATAATTAATACAAAATCTGTACAATATAACATTACAGGGACCAGCAGTTGGCATAATGGCTATGTCACTGAATTCCCATGTAGTCGACTGTGGTTTGAGTCCCAGATCCGGTGGCTTAAACTCACGCTGGGCACATGTACGCGCGTGCCTAAGATCCTGAGAGGAGAATGGAGGAGAAAGGACTGCAGTGTGGCCATCCCCCCTGGGGGGTGATATCTCGCTTTCTGTCTCTGTCTCTGTCTTTCTGGCGAGCGCATGCACCCTATAGCAAAAACCTCTCAAACAAACAAAAAACAAAAACAAAACATTACAGGGGCCGGCTGGTGTGGTGGTCAAGGTGCTGGACTCCCATATTGGCTGACTGCGGTTTGAGTCCTGGACCTGGTGGCTTACTTTCTCACTTTCCCCTTCTCTCACTCACTCTCTCTCTCTGCCTCTTCGGTCAAATTAAAAAATAAATAAATAAAATGAATAACGATAACAAATAAAATAAAATAAGTCATATATATGTGTATCTGTATAACATTACAATGTCTAATATACAATAAAAAATTACCATATTTGTAAGAAAATCTTGGAAATGATGCCCGCAGTCAAGAGGGTAGATGTTAACAGAAGCAGAGCCACCCATGACTCAGAAATGAGAATCAGCAGAAAATGACTTCATAATAACTGTTGTAAATAATGTTCAAGAACCTGGAAGAGACAAAGTAGGTGAAGAAATGGAAGAGTTCAGCTGATATATGAGAAAAAAGAACCAAATGGAAGTAGAAAATATACCAGCTAAAAGGAAAACTGAGATGGGCTTAAGAGCAGGTTGGACACTGCAGAAAGATTAGAGAATTCCATGATTGGTCAGTGATAGGCCGGAGGCCTGGGCAGCTTGGATGTGGAGGCTGGACGCCACCCACAGTCGGCGGATGCTACCTGGATCTAGTCTGTCATCAGACCTGCACCGCACTCGGATCTAACCCGGATGAAGCGCACGGCGCTCTACTCCGCACACAGCACCAGACCCTACGGCTCAGTAGTCTGCTCTCCTCCTAAACTTTACCATACAGGGACTGTTTCTACCTCTAAGGCACTCCCCCTCCCCATACCCTTAGGAAAATCGCTAAGCCCCGCCCTAGGGCGCCACTTCCCTGGTCCTCTCTCTCTCCGCCACTCCCCTGGTCCTCTCTCTCTCTCTCTCTCTCTCTCTCTCTGTCGGACCAGCAGACCTCGCCTGGAAGCATTCCCAATAAAAGCTCTACATTTCTATTTTCTCGCGTGGTTGGCCCCTTCCTTACAGTCAGTGTGGAGGATCGGCGAGCCTGGACCATGCACAGACTGAGACCTGTGAGCAAGGTTCTCTGAACATAAGTGGCCTGGAGGGCAGGTTCAGAACAGCCAGAGGGCTGAGTTCAACTAGTACTGGGGTTCTGTGATCTAAGTAAGGGGGTCCAGGATGTTTGGACTAAGGTAGTAACAGACCATGGAATCTCAGCTAAGGAGGGAAGTGACGAAATACACGGTATTCCACAGTGGAAAAATGGGGTCAGTGGATCCAGAACCCCATTGCTTGCCAACGTATCAGACACTGAACTAGAAGATTTAGAGCCTCACGACTCAAAAGCTGGGTCCCAGGACCGGAGCACCAGCAGCACCAGGCCCGGACCTGTATGTACTGAATCCTAATCTCTGGGGGTGGGGCTCAGTGAGTTGTTTTGTTTTGTTGTTGTTACTGTTTTAAGGTTTTTGCCTTAGGGTGTATGCTGGAGAGAGAGAGAGACAAAGACAATGAGGGAGAGAATTCAGCCCCTGGGGGGATAGCCGCACAGGAATCCCTTCTCCTCCCAGGATCTTGGGCATGCACACACTCCTAGCATGATTTATTTATTTATTTATTTTAGAGTTTTTTTGCTATAGAGCGTGTGCATTCACCAAACAGTCAGAGACAGAAAGCGAGAAATCACCCCCCAAGGGAGATAGCCATGCCACAATCCCTTCTCCTCCATTTTCCTCTTGGGATGTTGGGCACACACACACGCGCCTGGCGTGAGTTTAAGCCACCGGGTCCGGGATGCAAACTGTGGGCGACTACATGGAAGTCCAGCAACATAGCCATTACGCTAACTGCTGGTCCCACTCCTAGCATGATTTTTAAGCCACCAAGCCTGGGACTTCAAACTGTGTTCGGCCATGTGGAAGTTCAGCGACATAACTGCTACACCATCTTCTGGCCCCTAGGTGAGCTGTTTTAACAAGCTCTTATGTTGGTCCTACCACTTGCTAACACCTGAGAACCACTGTTCTAGGGTAAGAGGGCTGCAGAGATGGCGGTAACACAGAGCGGGACGCTTGAAATGGGTATTTGGGAGATGCTTGGTTATGAGCAATGACTAAGGCCGAAATGAGCTCCAGGGGAGTGAGAAACCCAGACCAAGTGGAAGAAAAGACCTCTAAAGGTACAAAGGCCTTTGAGTGGTTTGGTGCCATGGTAATGGGCCGCTCAAGGGATGCTGGATCCATATGGAAAACTGCAGGCTCTGTTCCCTGGCTGACCTGTACACACCGGGCACACAGCCATGATCCTGACTGGCTGGAAGGGCTGATGGGGGGGTAGGAATTGTGGCATGAGATCCTGCTGAGGGTGCCTCTGTCTCTCTCACTTTCACACTCATGCTCATGAAATAAATGAACACAATTTAAAAAAAAAAAGGATGGCATAGGAAGTGAGTGGCTGGAGTCTTAGACGAGTCATCTGTGTAGATGGATGAATCCGTGTGGTGAGAGAGAAAGAGAACGACCTTAGAGGAAGTCATCAGTGAAGGGCATGACACGGAGGACAGTAATGACTACAAGCAGAGCTCAGTAGGTAGTGTGGCCTGACAGTGTGCCCTCCCAAAGAGCTAGGGTTTAGAGGAGAGGAAAGTCATTCGGGCCTAGCAAGGAGCTGCCCAGGTCAGTCTCACTGTGCCCGTGCCAGCCCCTCTCCACCCCCGTGTCCAACCTCTGCAGCTGCCTGGCTGAGTCTGCCCACTGCCCACAGATATGCATACTGCCCTTCCTTCCAGACAGAACCGGGCGACGACGTGGCTAGCATCAAAAACTACATCTCCCAGCCTCTCTGCACTAAGGCCAGGCGTGGCCATGCTGTGCCATGAAACATAAGCAAAACTGCAGTCAGGTTCCCGAGAAGGTGCCCCTTCGGCCCTAAATGTTTGCCTTCCTCCTGCAACCCTGGTAACAGCGTGGAGTCCCCACACCCACCCCAGGAACGGAAAATGAATCCCCGACTTGTTTAACCACCGTGGTTCAGACTTCCTCATGTGTGCGGCCGAGTCGTCCCCTAACACATGAGGCTCTGAAACGGGACCCTGTGCTCCTGGCTCACCTCTACCGAATGACAGGCCTACCTCTGAAGGCTTTGAAGCGCCTGGGGGTCAGTTATAGGCCTGCCCTCTCTGCATGCAGAGGTGGCCCCACATCATACACTATCCTATCCCTACCAGGAGCTCCCCCTTCCTGAGCCTTTAAAAAAGGCCTTAGCAAGACTTGGTAATGTTTGTCTTCCTGCTAGGGAGGATTAGATTTTATTCACCTTTGTCTTACACTTCACATCAGCAGCAGACCAGGCTGTGCAAACAACAGGCAATTAATGTTTGCTACATTAAACAAGGAAAAACATGAATTTCAATATTCCTGGTTGAAAAAGCCCTGACTGAATTGCCTAATGACCCTTTTTGTCCTTGCCAAGGATACCGTCCCCCCTTACTTAAAAATGCCAAGTTTCCCACACCCGACTTCGCTCCTGACTATCAAAGGTCCTAAGAGCTCCCTCACTTCCTCAAAGCACCATGTTCTCGTCAGACTGGACTGAAGGGGGGTGAGAGAATGAAAGCAAAGTCTACCAAAGTGAAACTGCAGCCACCCAGTGCGGGACAAGGCCAGAAACTTACCAGCAGCTCCTGGGGCCACTTGGACCCATCATGGGTCCTCTTGGGGAGCCTCTTGCTTGAATTCACGAACAATTTTCGCTTATGGAAGAGCTTCCCATTCAGCTCCTGGATCGCAAGGGCCACTTTCTGCACGGAGCCCAGATCTATGAACGCAAAGCTGAGAAGGCAAGAGAGAGGGCAGGTGCCAGCAGGAAGCCATGATGGTGGTTAAGGCACGAGATTCCAAATGGCCAATCACAGTTCAAGTCCTGGACCCGGTGGTTTGAAAATCATGCTAGGCACATGTGCATACATGCCGACTCAAAATCCCAAGAGGAGAAGGAAGAGAAGGGACTGTGGCATGGCCATCCTCCCAGGGTATGTGTGTGTGTGGGGGGGGGGAGGGGGTGATTTCTCACATTCCCTCTGTCTCTGTCTCTCTCTGACTACCCTATGGCAAAAACCTATTAAAAATAATAATAATAAGTGAGAGAAGGCAGCTCTGAGCACATCTCAGGTGAGGACCAGAGTTTCAGGGAGGATACCCAGAGCTGTAGGAAGGCCACTCTCCCTCTTCCTTTCTGCAACAGTCCCCTCTCCCTCCTTGGTAGCAACAGAAGAGCAGCCATTCCAACCATATGAATAAGTCAAGATTAGCTCCACATGGGGACCTGCAGGTGGTGTGGTGGTTACGGTACTGGGCAGTCCCACATGGCCAACATGGTTCGTGTCCCAGACCTGGTGGCTTGCTTTCTCACTCTCCCTCTTCCCATGTCAAATTAAAATAAATGAATGAATAAATAAAACTAAATAGATAATTAGAAAAAAATTAGCTCCAGACTTGGGCCTGGGCTGGACAATGTGAGAGACTATTCTAGGCCTCTGAGCATCAGAAGACTTAAGTTTACTCCACTGCTATATATTATATATCTGGGATTCTTTAATTCTACTGCCCCTTCAAAGTGACAAGTACTTTTACTGCCTTGTGAATAAGAAAGAAGGGACAGCAGGTGATATGGTGGTTAAGGCACTGGACTCCCACTTCGCGGACTGCAGTTCGAGTGCCAGACCTGGCAGCTTGCTTTCTCACTATCCCCCTCCCCTGTCCCTCTCTGGTGTGCACACATGACCTATACAGCAAATTTTAAAAATAATAAAAAATAAAATTTTAAAAATTCTTTTAAAAAATGAAAATAAAGGAATACAAGAGGATTTCAAAAAATTCAAGAAAAGAATGGAATTAAAGTACAAGTTTATTTTGATGCAAAAATGTATTAATTCATCAAGTTTTTCATAATGTGCAATTTCCATGAACTTTTTGAAGACCCCTTTGTAGAAACGGGTCCAGTTTTCAGGGACAACTGAGGCTAAGGGTTATATAGAAACCCTTAAAGTCCAAAACCTTCAGGTCCAAAAACAGGACAGCGCCCCAAATAAACCCAGTCTCTAGACTTTTTTTTTTTTTAAGACTATTACTATTTTTTTTTTGGAGAGGTTTTCGCTATAGGGCGCGTGCGCTCGCCAGACAGACAGAGAGAGACATAGAGACAGAAATCGAGAAATCACCCCCCAGAGGGGATGGTCACGCCGCAATCCCTTCTCCTCCATTCTCCTCTCGGGATCTTGGGCACGCACGCACACGCACTCCCCCTTCCTGAGCCTTTAAAAAAGGCCTTAGCAAGACTTGGTAATGTTTGTCTTCCTGCTAGGGAGGATTAGATTTTATTCACCTTTGTCTTACACTTCACATCAGCAGCAGACCAGGCTGTGCAAACAACAGGCAATTAATGTTTGCTACATTAAACAAGGAAAAACATGAATTTCAATATTCCTGGTTGAAAAAGCCCTGACTGAATTGCCTAATGACCCTTTTTGTCCTTGCCAAGGATACCGTCCCCCCTTACTTAAAAATGCCAAGTTTCCCACACCCGACTTCGCTCCTGACTATCAAAGGTCCTAAGAGCTCCCTCACTTCCTCAAAGCACCATGTTCTCGTCAGACTGGACTGAAGGGGGGTGAGAGAATGAAAGCAAAGTCTACCAAAGTGAAACTGCAGCCACCCAGTGCGGGACAAGGCCAGAAACTTACCAGCAGCTCCTGGGGCCACTTGGACCCATCATGGGTCCTCTTGGGGAGCCTCTTGCTTGAATTCACGAACAATTTTCGCTTATGGAAGAGCTTCCCATTCAGCTCCTGGATCGCAAGGGCCACTTTCTGCACGGAGCCCAGATCTATGAACGCAAAGCTGAGAAGGCAAGAGAGAGGGCAGGTGCCAGCAGGAAGCCATGATGGTGGTTAAGGCACGAGATTCCAAATGGCCAATCACAGTTCAAGTCCTGGACCCGGTGGTTTGAAAATCATGCTAGGCACATGTGCATACATGCCGACTCAAAATCCCAAGAGGAGAAGGAAGAGAAGGGACTGTGGCATGGCCATCCTCCCAGGGTATGTGTGTGTGTGGGGGGGGGGAGGGGGTGATTTCTCACATTCCCTCTGTCTCTGTCTCTCTCTGACTACCCTATGGCAAAAACCTATTAAAAATAATAATAATAAGTGAGAGAAGGCAGCTCTGAGCACATCTCAGGTGAGGACCAGAGTTTCAGGGAGGATACCCAGAGCTGTAGGAAGGCCACTCTCCCTCTTCCTTTCTGCAACAGTCCCCTCTCCCTCCTTGGTAGCAACAGAAGAGCAGCCATTCCAACCATATGAATAAGTCAAGATTAGCTCCACATGGGGACCTGCAGGTGGTGTGGTGGTTACGGTACTGGGCAGTCCCACATGGCCAACATGGTTCGTGTCCCAGACCTGGTGGCTTGCTTTCTCACTCTCCCTCTTCCCATGTCAAATTAAAATAAATGAATGAATAAATAAAACTAAATAGATAATTAGAAAAAAATTAGCTCCAGACTTGGGCCTGGGCTGGACAATGTGAGAGACTATTCTAGGCCTCTGAGCATCAGAAGACTTAAGTTTACTCCACTGCTATATATTATATATCTGGGATTCTTTAATTCTACTGCCCCTTCAAAGTGACAAGTACTTTTACTGCCTTGTGAATAAGAAAGAAGGGACAGCAGGTGATATGGTGGTTAAGGCACTGGACTCCCACTTCGCGGACTGCAGTTCGAGTGCCAGACCTGGCAGCTTGCTTTCTCACTATCCCCCTCCCCTGTCCCTCTCTGGTGTGCACACATGACCTATACAGCAAATTTTAAAAATAATAAAAAATAAAATTTTAAAAATTCTTTTAAAAAATGAAAATAAAGGAATACAAGAGGATTTCAAAAAATTCAAGAAAAGAATGGAATTAAAGTACAAGTTTATTTTGATGCAAAAATGTATTAATTCATCAAGTTTTTCATAATGTGCAATTTCCATGAACTTTTTGAAGACCCCTTTGTAGAAACGGGTCCAGTTTTCAGGGACAACTGAGGCTAAGGGTTATATAGAAACCCTTAAAGTCCAAAACCTTCAGGTCCAAAAACAGGACAGCGCCCCAAATAAACCCAGTCTCTAGACTTTTTTTTTTTTTAAGACTATTACTATTTTTTTTTTGGAGAGGTTTTCGCTATAGGGCGCGTGCGCTCGCCAGACAGACAGAGAGAGACATAGAGACAGAAATCGAGAAATCACCCCCCAGAGGGGATGGTCACGCCGCAATCCCTTCTCCTCCATTCTCCTCTCGGGATCTTGGGCACGCACGCACACGCACCCGGTGTGAGTTTTAAGCCACCAGGTCCAGGACACGAACCGCGGTCGACTACATGGGAGTCCAGCGACATAGCCATTACGCTAACTGCTGGTTCCCAAGACTATTACTATTTTTTAAAAAGAATTATTTAACTTTATTTATTTATTTTAATTTGGGGCCAGCAGGTGGCGTGGTAGTTAAGGGCGCAGGATTCTCACATGGCCAACCATGGTTCAAGTCCCGGACCTGGCAGCTTGCTTTCTCGCTTTCTCTTTTTTTCTCTCTCTGGTCAAATAATAATAATAACAACAACAATAATAAATGTAATTAAATAAATATTTTTAAATTTGACCAGAGAGGGATAGAGTGGGGCAGGAGAGTGAGAAAGCAAGCTGCCAGGTCCAGGACTAGAACCACAGTTGGCCACATGGGAGTCCAGCGCCCTTAACCACCATGCCACCTGCCAGCCCCAACCCAGGTCTCTGGACTTCTAAACAGGACTGTACTGACAAGATCATATTAGCAGCCAAGCTGGAGGTTAAATATGGAAAGGGGGTTTCCCAGATGTCACTGTACCAAATCACAGTGGGTGTGGACTTGGGAGTTCCTGGCTTAGTTCGCAGGCGGTGCATCAGCAGAACGGACAGGGAGGAAAGGAGCTGCTTCCCAAAGAAAACACCGGAAGAACAGTCCTTACCATCTGCAGCCATTCTGGACTTTGTGGACATGGAGAGGGTTGAAGTCCTTCAGAAGATGTCGAATTTCCTCCTACAGCAGCAGGGTTTGAAAGAGAGAGACCCTTAGACATAACTTACAACCAGTTCATCTATACTGCTTTGTTTTTGTTTTTGTTTTTTAAGGTTTTTGCCATTGGGCACATGCGCTGGCCAGAGTCAGTGAGAGAGAAAGTGAAAATTCACCTCCCCCCCAGAGGGGATAGTTATGATGCAATCCCTTCTCCTTTATCCTTCTCCTGGGATTCTGAGCACACATGCACAAGCACCCAGTGTGATTTTTCAAGCCACTGGGCTGGGGACTCAAACCGCAGTCTGCCATGTGGGAGTCCAGTGCCGTAACCACTATGCCATCTGCTGGCCCCCATCTGTACTTGTTTTAATACATACAGAATGAGAGTGCCCTGTGTGCTGTTTGTGTCAGGATCTGTGCTAAGTGCTGCAAAATATAGAGAGCCCAGACAGACCAAGCCCGAGTTTAATGAAGCCCAGTAGCTAAGCAGGGGAGACGGACGAGATGATCAATAAACAGACCATCCCATCACAGCACGAGAAATTCCCTGGTGAAGGAATACAGATGGCTACGGAAACACAGGATGGCGATTTCACCCCGATTTAGAGGGGAAGGAAGTGGACTGAGCGGGCTCCCAGGAGGAAGTGACTTCCACACCTTCTGACCTCTACTGCCTGGGTATAGGGCCACCTTCCTTTGCCCATGAATATCCTCTACACTCATCCTTTTTTAAAAAAAAAAGTTTCCATCTTTCTTCCATGAATGAGAGAGAGAGAGAATGAGGGAGAGCAGACCCCTCAATGGGGCCTCCACGCCGCAATCCCCCCAGCTTCAGCCAGCCTCCTGGTCATGGGCATAAACCTGGAATGCTCAGGGAGGTCTCTGGACGTGAACTGGGAACCATCTCCTATGGGTCAGCTTTGCAGAGCATCCTTGCAACACCTGGGCATACCATATGGCCCCAGCTCCCATTCTCAGCTCCCCTCTCTACCCTCGGTCTCCCCCATGCACCAGCGACCGACTGCAGCCCCACACCTTCCCGCCCCACAGCTCCACTCCCCAGGGCCCTCCCCTGCTTTGAAATAAGGGCTACCCTCCCCTGCTGCCCTTTGGAGCTACACCTATTTTTTTTCTCTTTTCTGCCAAACTTGTAGAAAGGACTGTCTCCACCTAATGCCTCTGTTTCCTCCCCGCCCACTCCCTCCTGACTGCCTGCAGCTTGGCTTCTGTTCCTGCCACACTGAAATTGCTTTCTGAAGGTCACAGGGTGAAGGTCACAGGGCGGCCTGCTGCCCTGTTGGTTCTGTGCAGGCCTGGGCCCTGTCAAATTCCACCTGCACTCTCTACACTTCCCCCTCCTCTGCTCCCCCACCATGTCACTGTTATATTTCACAATTAGGATGGAAACTAATTCTTTTCTGAAAAACTCTATTTTGGAAAAATGTATATTTATACCATCTTCTTTTAAAAGCAGCTTTTACCCATCTGAAATCACTTTGTTGGCTGAGGAAAATATAAATGCATTATGTATAACTCATTTTTCTCAGTCTTCATGTTTATATTGCATTTAAATTCAAATTTTCAAATTTGCTTTACTTTTAAATATTTAATGTTTATTACACATGAATCTACAAGATGCTGAGCAACAAGCAATTTGTGAGAATAAGCAATATGTGCTTAGCATTTTCAGTTTATGAAGCGCTTTCGGGTACCTATTGCATTTGGTCTTTATAACCACCCTTTGAGGTACGCGATATTATTGATAATATTATCCCCAATATCATCATACAGAGGTGTAAAATAAGGACCAGAGGGATTAAGCGACAGTCCTACCATCACACAGCCAACTTAAAGTTCAGATTTGAACTCAGGGCTTCTAACTTCAAATCCTACATTTTCTCCACTATATCATGCAAAAAAATCATAGGTTTTTTTTGTTTGTAGTTTGTTTTTGTTTTTGTTTATTTTGCCATAGAGCATATGCACTCACCAGAGAGAGACAGAGAGAAAATAAGAAATCACCCACCAGGGTGGATGGCCATCTGAAATCCCTTCTCCTCCATTTGGGCATACACACATCCCCGGCATATTTTCAGGCTTCCGGGTCTGGGACTCGAACCTCAGTTAGCCATGTGGCATCTAGCACTTTAACCACCACATCACCTGCTGGCCTGCAAAACCATAACTTACTTTCCAGATTTTACTGTCATTAAAATACAACAGAAAGCTAGTTAATATTTTCATATCTTCTATAGCAGGTGTCAGGGAACTACAGCCTTGGGTCGGGTCCAGCCCACCACCGTTCCATCACATAAAGCTATACAGAAGCACAGCCATTCGCGTGCGTTCCCTTCCTGTCGTCCATGCTATGATGCAGAGAGGAACATTTGCTACCTGACCTGTTACAGAAAAGGTTTGCAAATCCTTCTTTTGTACAATGGATAATTCTGACTGCGGATGCTGCAAGTTATTTTATTTATTTATTTATTTTTAAAATTTGCTATAAGATGTGTGAGCTTGCCAGAGAGAGAGAGAAAGTGTGAAATCGACCTCGGGAGGATGGCCACACCGCAATCCCTCCTCCTCCATTCTCCTCTCAGGATTTTGGGCATGCACACACACACACTTGGCATGTCTTCCAAGTCAGCAGGTCTGGGATTCAAACTGTGCAGTCAGCCATGTGGGATCCAGTACCTTAACCACCACACCACTGATTGGCTTTTTTAAACTACTAATGCAAGGTCTACCTCATCCCAGATGAACAAAGTCAGAGTAGTTGGGATTAAAACTAAAGCATCAATTTTTATTTTTTTTTAAGAGAGATTTTTACTATAGGTGTGTGCACTCACTGGAGAGAACAGAGAGAGACAGAAAGCGAGAAATCACCCCCCAGGGGGGATGGCCACGCCACAGTCCCTTCTCCTCCATTCTCCTCTCGGGATCTTGGACGTGCACACACCCAGTGCATTTTAATCAGCTGCATCCAGACTCAAACCACAGTCAACTACATGGTAGTCCAGCCACGTAACCATTATGCCATCTGCTGGTCCCCAAGCATCGATATTTTTAAAAAGCTACCTGGATGATTATATTACGCAGCTGAGGTGAAAAGAAAATAAGAACTACTGTTTCAACGGTATCAAGCACACTCAGGAAGCACTAGCTTTCAGATGTGCTTGAGGGTGCGAGGAGAGAAGACCCTCCCTTCTCCCTCCCGACACATAGGTGCCAACAAAACCTGCCAACATCTTTCAGCCGTGGAACTTCAATCAGTGTTATCAGGGAGGGTGTCCCATCAGCAGCTGCTGTGCCTGTTGCCGGTTATCATTAGAAATTCCTACAATCTGAAGGGTGCCCTCATTGTGACATGTTTTCTGCTTAGTAGTTTGTTTATTAAAGTTTTTTTTGATCAATTATAGATTTGACAAGTGGCTTGGTACATTAAAGCTAAAATTGCCTTGTGCCCCGGAGGGGCTATTTTACATCTCATTTTAAATAATGAAAATAACTTATTAGAGTTTTTTTAATTAAAAAGACATTCAATGTTTATTGTAGAAATATTTTTAAAATACTGAAAAGCAAAACAGAAGTCTCACCCATAATCCTGCTGCAGATAAACCCTGCATTCACCCCAGAGATCGTAAGATCATGCTGAGGGGACTTCAAAAGTTCGTGGAAAATCAGAACCAAAGTACCAGTTTATTTTGGTGCAAAAGAACTTGAAATCCACACAATAGTTTTTCGTAAAATGCATTTTTCCACGCACTTTCATGCTACTGTTGTTATAAGGCACACGAGAGAGAGAGAGAAAGATAGAGATAGATAGATCTCCCCCTTAGGAGAGATGGCCATACTGAAATCTCTCTCCTCTATTTTCCTCTTGGGATTTTGGGCACACATGCACACTGCCAGGCAAGATTTTCAAGCCACTGGATCCAGGATTCAAAATGCAGCTGGTCATGCAGGACCCAGCGCCTTAACCTCCACACCACCTGCTGGTCCATTCCATGCACTTTTTAAAGACCCCTTGCACATCCTTTTCAGACAATCATCACGAACCTCATCTACGGCCTGTCAATTGTAGCATCAGCATTATGAACAGATGACTTTGTGCCAAACAAAAAGTTGCTATGGAGGCCGGCAGGTGGCATGGAGGTTGAGGTGCTGCACTGCCGCGTGGTCAACTCTGGTTTGAGTCCTGGACCTGGTGGCTTGCTTTCTCACTGTCCCTCTCTTGCACTGTCCCTCTCTGGTCAAATTAAAATAGGTAAAAATTAAAGGAAATAATTCTTTTTTTTTTTTTAAAGGTTACTATGGTCATCTCTGCTAAATAACTTGTCCATCAGATAGGCAGCAGGTTAGCTGCTGGAAGACACCAAGTGCCAGGGATGGCCAAGGAACTCCTGTGCTGGTAAGAGTGCAACTCAAGAGGGACCAGCAGTTGGTGTGATGGCTATGTCGCTGGACTCCCACAGAGTCGACTGCGATTCGAGTCCCGAACCCAGTGGCTTAAACTCACGCCAGGCACACGTACGTGCGTGCCCAAGATCCCGAGAGGAGAATGGAGGAGAAGGGATTGCGGCATGGCCATCCCCCCGGGGGTGATTTCTCGCTGTCTCTGTCTCTGTCTTTCTAGTGAATGCACACATCCTATAGCAAAAACCTCTCCCCTCCCCCCCAATAAAAGAGCGCAGTTCAATCCTCCTCCTGGTCAAGTCCTAGAGGGTCCCACACCGAGGTACCGGCTTCTTTCTCAAGACCTCTGCAGCTGGATGATCTCTTTTCTATCTCTACATCCCCCTCCACTGGACGTGCACACACAAGTTCTATTCCCAGTGGCTGTAATACTTGACACACACCATGCCTTTGAGCTCACAGCCCCCTCCTGCCACCAGCCAGCTGTCCTCCTCTCCTTCATTACTAACACCCTCAAAAGTGTCATCTATACTCATTGTCTTCACTTCCTCTCATTCAAAACATTTATTAAGTAAATACTCTGCTAGAAAATGTTTTCCGTGCAC